TAACATAAGCTCATGGTTTTTAAGGCAAATACTTTAGCGGTAGCGATTTACTGGGTGACAGAAGAGAGGTGAGTGATGATTTTATTGTATGTGTGGAGATGGCTTCTCTCAATCTGTAGACATCAACCGCTTCTTCCGTATGAATCATTGCAAGGTCAAATAGTGTTGAGAAGCAGGTAACCATGAGCAATGGAGCGGTGCTGGAGCTTGCAGGAGTCGCTGCTCCCAGTGTAATAACGGTGCCTGGGCTGTCTGCACTTGTTCACGCGTGGTTTCCTGGTGGGGGGAGGAAGCTGAGGTGTATATGCAGTTGTTCCACTGCCAATGTACATCAACTCCTCTGCATCTTTTAAAATTGTTTGGGAATCACACTGGCATAGGCTGCTGATTCAGTTGGGTAGGTTTGTAAGTCACATGGAAGCAGATTTCAAGGTGTGGCCAGTGGCTACTGAACTCATTTTGGAGGCGAAGACCCAGCACTGTCCTACTGCTGTACAGCCAGCTCTTCCTTACATCAACCTCGTGTCTGCACAGAAATCCCTTTCAGGTATGTGTTGGCCTTGCTGGTTGTCACCCCAAGAACAGCAGGGATGTGGGATCCTTCCTGCTCCTTGCAGTGGGCTACTGGTCATGTGCTGTTTGGAACTCCAGCCGCTCACACGAAGCTCGTTTTGGTAGCGCGCTGTGGTTTTAGAGGTTGCAAAATAACTTGGTAGATGGTTTGTAGGTTGAAGAGAAGTGTGTTTATGCAAAATTTCCATTTGTGTGCATATCTTTTTGTGATATTGTTCACCTTTGACTACAGAGTCTTTATTTAACTTTTTCTGAACAAGAAGGTCAGTATTGTAGGGTCACTTGCCCAGAAGCTAGGCAAGTACTCTTTAGCTAGCCATGGTCTTTGCAAGCTTGGTTTTTCTTGTGTTGTTCTTCTGACAGCTACTTGTCATGAGTACTGTTGACAATCAACTACCTTGCAGGTGTCTTTGACTCGAGTCTGATCTTGGACTGCATGGGACAGAGCCTGGTCAATCTCATGGAGTAAAGGAGAAAGGACATCAAGTCCGATTAGACTGATTTCTCTGCCATCATGGCCAAGTCAGAGATATAAACTGGAATAGTCGACTGCCAGTGCAGTCCTTGGAGGTTTTAGTGCTTTCTCTGGGATTTGTTCCCACCTCCCCTCTGTGTGATGCCACTTCCTGGACTGAGACTGGGTTTTTTCAGTGCAGTATCAGTTCTCAGTCTGGAGTTGCTGAGTCTTTACAGTTCCTTTCCTCAGTCTGCCTTTTCTTCTAGAACCTGAGGGGGAATGGCAGCAGCCAAGACTCCGTGATTAAGCTTACGGAAGAGCACGTTGTTGGAGTTGCGTGGGTCTGGCTTGCTGCCTACACAGTGTGTTGGAATCACTACACGGTGATCTGTAAATTATATTGCTACATCCCTTTAATTATAGCCTTGCTCCCTCTTTAATATCTCAGCTGCTTTCGTTGCGTGCTGCAGGACTCTGCCTATGATGAATTCTTCTCTTGTCTACTTGTATGAACCTGGTTCAAGGTGGTTTGCTGAATCACTTTTTTTGGTGACCCTGGGCAATGCTCTACATGGAATGAACAAATGAATTTTCACCAGTAAATGGGTTGTACTCTCAGTCTATGAACAAGTGAAGCATCATCATGGAGTTGGAGTCTTAAAACTGCTTGAGAAAGGCCTGGTAGTACTTGGTATTTTAGGTACTGTGATATATTTGGTGGGAACGGCTTCAGGCTTTTATTTTTTAACTACGAGTGGGAAATGTTTGAGTACAAAGGCTAAGGACCAAATAGTCAAAATATGGTTTAGCTAGCCCTTCGCTTGAGCGTCCAAGCCTGTTTGTCTTGAAAAAGTAAGACTTTGTTGTCTTTACTATTTAGTCTTTCATACTGTCATTAATGGATATAATTTTTTAATGTTTTGTTTAGTTTCATCTCTTCTGAATAAATGAATAAAGTGACTATGAAAGCACAGCATCTGCCTTCTGTTTCCATCAACGAGGAGAAGTTCATAACCAGGTAAATGATTAACAAAACCATTTAATGACTTTACTTGATTCGAGTTACTCCATATTTATTCCTTAACAGAGGATCCTGTAGGGAGGTGAGCCTGTAGCAGCCACAGTTCCTAAATCTTGCTTTCTGTCAAGTGTCTAAGGAATAATATTACCGTTTATATTGATTTCTAGGGATAGAGCATTAAACATTTTGTCTATGGATTTTGTTCACTAGGTAGGACAGATCTCTTAGAGGATACTGAAATAAGATGTCAAACTGGGGAAGACAACCTTACTGTCTTGGAAGTCTAGTGGAATTGCAGATGGGTTGCAGGGTTTAACTTGAGCTCTAGCTCATTTGGGTCTCTGCTCCCACACAACAAGGTTTCTTTGCAGAAGGACCTCTTGGGCTGCTGGCTCTGTTCTGTGGTGAGTGAAAGTGGCTCTTCAAGCTACCTGTGAAAAGCTTGGAATTGTACTCAAACTGTATTTTATGGGATGCTTTTCCACGGTTAAATCTAGCTGGTAGGAGTTTATCCTAGGGCTGCCATAAACCCTGAGCCTCCTGGCATATACCTCCATCACCTTTTTAGGGGATTATTTTTTCCCTTGTTGACCAGAGCCCAGGAGGAAGAAGGGACTCTAATCTCATTGCATTTCCATCCATCCCTCTTGATGTTTCTGTGGGAACACAGAAGCAGCTCCTATAAATGCACCTGGGGATGTGGCCTGTGATTGTATTTCTCTTCCTGCAGTGGGTATTTCCATCTAAATCCTGATGCTTTTATCTGTGGCTTGAGCAGTGCTGTTGGTTTCTCCCTTTTTAAGGAAGGGTGTCAGAGCTTTGCTCAAAGCACAGAGAACAAATGCATCCCTCCCTTTCTAGAGAGTTCTTCCTTTGGTACTGCTGCTCATTTGGGACGTTGTGCTTTTGGGTGGGAGGTAATGAATCCGTGTGAACTCTAATATACTTGGCATACAAAGCATTTGGAAATGTACTGGATGAATTGGTGTCTCTGGATTTCTTTCCTGTAAATTTGCCTGTTTAAGTGGTGAAGTGTGGATCCTGGTTGACAGTCTTCTGCACTACAGTCATGGTTTCAAGTACTGTTCAAGGTTTGTTACCTTGCAAAAAGAAAAGAAGCATTTGAAGAATTGCTGACACAGTCTGTATGCCCTCAAGCTTGCTTCCAAAGCTATTTCCGGACTGTTGTCCCTTGTCTATGCTTTGAAGCTGCTGTTCTGCTACTCCTTTCAGTTGTATCATGAGGACCTTGCTGACATGGCAAGCCTGCTGTTGGAGTTGCACAGTGGCTGGATGGAAAGGCTGACCAAAGCTGTGGGATTGCTTGGCTGGCTGAACTATTGTGTCTTCAAGTGTAACTGCCATAAATATCTGTAGGTAAATGTGTAGGGCTCAGGAGAAGACTTGCAGTAAGGTTAATGAAGTAAATAATTGACACCCAGAGTGTTAGAAGGGAATGCAGTTAACCTTGCTGAGTTTAGTGGTGCAGCCCTTGTCCTTACGTTACCTGCTGAATAAAACCTTGGTTCTTTTCCTTCCTTACCAAAGGCAAAAGCTCACCAAGCAACAGGGCACTGCCAGTTTTGGTTGATTAAGTGGAGCGAAGGAGGGATAGGATATGCCAGGGAAAGCTTTTAACCCACACACTCTGTGTGCCCCTCAGCCTCAAACGCAGTGTGGATGCCTGAACTGGCATCCCTGCTCCCACCGCTTCCTTCTCCAGCGTGTCAGCGGCCAAGCCTGTTTTGCTGCCCAGTCTCTGTGTTGGGCTCTTGGGCAGCCGTGTCCATCAGCCCCATCTCGGGCCCTCTGCTTTGATGCAGTGTCAGATGTCTGCCCTCCTTGCTCTAGAAGCAGGAGCAGATGCTACAGATGTGTATCCCATGCAGAGACACATGGTGATAGGGTTCTGCGCAGCGTTTTTCAGAGACACTGTTGTCCAGATGCTTTGGATATGTAGAAATGGTAAGAGGTGGCTGAGAAGGGCAGTTTTGTCTAAGCCATCAGTTGGGAGCTTCCAGAGAGACCGTAGACAGAGGAGGCTGAGGATGGAAGAGGAGCACGTGTGTCATAGGCCACAGAAGAGGGTGTTTGCTGCTGGAGTAAGACAGTCGAGGAGAAGATGCTCTTGTTGTCTAATGGATATGCTTCTCTGCATACGTAGCAGTTTCCACCTACATCATTGGTGTTTCTTCACATGATCCATCCCTCTGTTCTTTTGCACTGATTTCTTGGAGTTTATTCATGTCTTAAGTGAGATCCCCTGAGCAACTTTCAAGTTCACACAGTTAGCTATGTAGCCATTTACGTAGAGTAGATGGTGACTCAATCTGATTAGAGATGCAATGAAATAATACTCTGTTCACCCTGAAAATGTCCTTCTGAACTGCTTTGCACTGATGTACAAGCTGATCCCTTTCCTAGGGGAGACATCACTCTTAGGTATGTCGTCTCTGATAAGGATGCCACTGGCACCATCAACAATGTCCTCATCATCTTCGATGTGGGTGCATGGTGACAGTTCAGTAAAATTCTGCTGAAACTACTCATGCCAATGTTTCCCGTGCCCCAAGGCTTTTTTGTACAGTTCTTAACTAAATGTATCTCTTGCAGAAGGAGATGTGTAATATTTGGCATATAGTCTTGGTCCATATGCTCTTGCACCTCTGTTGCTTACATTTTCTTGGTGAACTCTGAAATTTCTGGTATGTAACTTCGACTGAGTGTCAATGCCATGTGTGACTTGTTCTTTAATGACAGGGCTAGAAGTCAGTTCTTGCGTTGGGGGCTTTTTAACTTAATATTGGTGTAGAAGGTCATCTTTCTTCTGTTAGTACATGGTCTTGGATAGTTTCAGTAGGTCTCTGTGGAACCTTCTTGGAGAAGAGTTTGCAAATGCTGTGTGTGCCTGTGGTTGGACTGTTTTACTGTCTAGTACTAAACAAAAACAGGGGAAAAGGGACCGTATTTGGAAACAAACTTGGTGTCTTCACAGTATGTTAAACCATCTTGACTGTTAGTCATCTCAGTTGGTGCTTCAAGCTCGTCTGTGAGGAAGAATTGATTGTTTTCCACACACTTGTTAACCATGGCTTAGTGATACCTGCTGGAAAATGCTTTCTTGAATTACCACCTAAATAATCTTTTGTTAATTGGTGTGGGGAGGAGTGTTGAATTCTTGATGGTCCTGAAATACGTCAATTCTGTCTTTGATCCTCCTTAGCCTGAGCTGCATCTTGCTTGTTGTCTTGATGGTTTCTGCCACTTATGGTTGCCCCTGCTCTGCTTTGGGCTCTGTCCATGTGGTGTGTAACCTTGTCAAGAGCATTGTGAAGAAGACAGTGCTGTGACCCAATTTGGCCTGGAGGTGCAATTCAAGCAGCTTTGCTCCCAAGATGTTCCCATGTGTGGATACTTGTACATGGCAGCACGGCGCTGCTGGCTCGGGATCGGCAGCTGCTTGGCAGGAACTGGAATGTGCTTTTCCACAGCACTGGTGCCATCAGCCCCCAGCCTGTGTCTGTGCACCTTGGCAGGGTGCTGAGCAGCACAGTCTTTGCTGAAACTTCTCTGGAGGTTTGGAGATCACATAGTGAAAATCCAACAGCTCATGTGCTTGCTTTCCAGACCAAGTTGCCCATGGTGGAAGGTGGGGGCTGTGGCCCCAAAACTGACATGTGAGGTAGCTCTAATGGGGTTATTTTGAAATGCTGTCGCATGAGAAATGTTCTTTGGAAGGTCTTCTCCTGCAGTGTTGTGAGTTTGATGGATGGAGACAGGTACAGTTATCTCCAGTAGTGGTACTTAAAGATGGAATTATAAACATGACGAGCACCAGCAGTGTGCCTCAAACTGCTGTCCTGCCTCAACGCAGTGTTTTCTAAGCAGATTATTGCCCTGCTTTGCCTTAAATTGCAGAATGAATTTCTTTTTGAAATCTGAGATGATGGGCAGGTTTATAATCCTTGCTTGTGGGCAGAGGTTTCCTTCATCTCCATCCTTTCCCCTCCGAGCAGACTTAATGCAAAGCTGGTATGTTTGAAGGAGGAGTGAGGAGAAATGTTTTGGCTAGGCATACTGTACATGTTTTGAAATAAGAGTATCCAAAAAAATATGAAAACTGAACGGAAACAGTCAAGCAGGGAAAACAAATTGTAACTTAACTAAAATAGTCTGTATCCTGTTTGCTTCCCCCTTGTGACTATAACAGAATTCTGAAGTACAAGTTATTCTGGGGCAGTGTTACTAATGTTACATCACACTGTGACTGAGGAATTTCTTCTCTATCACGTCGTTCAAGAGAAATTTATAAGCAATTCGGTGTCCTGATAAAATTCCACTTGCAGAAAATGCTGTATTAATCATGAACAAAGCTGTACAAAAATGCAGTGAGTAACACAGGTACAGGCTGTTCCTCTGCCACTTAGCACTTGGATCTCACAGTGACAGAGATGGTTCAAAATTATGCTTTACATGATGATCTTTTATTCTAGAGAGCAGCTCAGTTCTCTTCTGAAGACTTACAACTCTTATTATTCTGATCAAGAAAATCTGCAACTGTCACATAATCAGGTAAGGATCTATGTCAGAATAATGGAAAAAGCCCTGTGGAATGGTAGGAAAAGCACTCAAGGGCACTGAGGTTTGCAGCTAGCCTGAGCAGTGCAGGATACTGGTTCTGTGTTGCTATATTAAAGGGAATATATCACTGGGATAACTGGAGTCGAATGCTGTAAGGAGAAGAGAGCAGAAATAGGTTTGTTCAGACTAGTGGGAGTGTCAGATTGTCCACTGTGATGGCCTTGTTGTCCCATTCCTTAATGTACTGCAGGAAATCACTCCTTGGGATCATCTCAAGTCTTGTATCACTAGCTGGGGTGGATTAGTAATGCAAATAATTCTATGGAGTGCAGTTCCCCCCAGCACCTTGAACTTGAACCCCCAGTGTGTAATGGCAGGGCTGCTGTCACTCGTCCAGGAGAGAACACCACCTCCTGCAAGGTGAACCTTGGGTGCAGACAAACTGCTTGTAAGAGCAGCCCCAGGAATGGGCAGACCAGGAGGGCCTGTGGGGCTGAAGGATGGATGAAAAGCATAAATCCTGTCTCATACCACGCAGTCCCTGCTTTAGAGCTGTGAACTCTTGTCCTTCGCAAGCTGTGGTTCTGCTGTTGTGCTGATATCAAGACCCAGAAGGACATTAGAGCAATTAGGGCAAAAGTGGTCTGAAAATGGGGAGTCCTCACTTCTGTCCCAGCT